TTTAAGAGATTTGATTGGCCAATTCACTATAATAAGAGTATTTTTATTATATTTGTTCAAAAAATTCGTTATATCAAAAGTTCGCTATAACAAGAGTTGACTGTATTTACCTAAATTTATAAGAAAAAAGGTATATATTATTATTATTATTAATATCAGTTAAATTGCAAGTTATCTATAATTTGTATATGATAATAACTAAAATCTCTGATAATACCAATGATAGTTCTGTGATAATATCATGTGAGTTGTACTTTGATCCAATAAGCTACTAAAGCTACTATATTAGTTATTCTTTTTTCATCATCATTTAATTTTTTATAAAGTAAATCTTTCTATGAAAAATTCTTTATCATCACTTGTACCCATTCTCGCATAGAGGTAGAAAATATATTCTCCATTTGATAATTGGCCGGAGCATTAAGCTTTTAAAGCTTATAAATAAGATGTTACTTTCTGAAATACATAATCAAATTTTCCATGTTAACGGGAATGTTCGAAAAAGGATTTGATCTGCGTTATGTGTAACCAAATTTGGAATTTTTTATATTTAAGATCCCCCATACGCGTCGTTTTTTTCTGTACCTGTTATTCCTGTCATTATGATACTTGCAAATATCTCTAAAACAACTACCTTCAGGAGTATACATATAAAACTGTACTGTAATCCTTGCAAACATTTCTAAAACAACTACCTTCAGGAGTATACATATAAACTGTACTGGTTACAGTTATATTCGTACAGTACAGTTTATCTATAGCCTCTACCTTCAGACGCAGCTATGAAAATATGAGGTCTACTCAACAAGTTTCTCATCCAAAACGCGAACTTCCGAAGAAAACTTCGCTTGAATAACCAGTAAAATCGAAAATGAACAAATAATTTCACCAAATGAACAGCCATCAGAAGTTGAGTTAATTCTCATATGAGTTCGATTGTTGAGCGCGGACGAAAATCAAAAGATACAACTGCACGAATTCTGGAAGAATAGCCATCGCTTCTGGCTCATCTAGCAAAAAGACCGGACAGTTATAGACCAATAAGACCGGTAGTCTTTTTTAGGACCGCAGTTTTCAAAAGACCCGATCAACAGAATTATGTAATTATGCTAGGAAGCCAATTTACCTAATCGCCTGTTGAACCAGAGCCGAAAGAGACGAACCTACTAAAAAGAAAGAGTGGATACATGTTAGAATTTTTTTTAAGAAACGAAACGAACGAAACGGAGGAATAAAAGAAATGAAGAAATGAGACAAGCTTACCGTGATCGTCTACCGAAAGAACCGAATACTATATAAGCTGCTCCGGGATCACGGTCCGTCCTCCAAGGACCAGAACCGGCTTAGACGGACCATTGATCATCTTTAAGTCAATATCAATTCGATGACAGCGTTAGACGATATCCGCGACAAAGAATTATAATAAATGTTATGATATATCAAATGAATTAGTTGTCGGAGGAGAGTAAAAGGATAATATATTAGATAACCTCCATATTGTTATAACTTCACAACAGCCAATAAGCGGATTTCGAAGGAGGATGATGTTATTGGAGCCCTGATTTTATCTATAAGCGATTTGGCAAGTTCTTCTTAGCAGTCGAAGTGAAGACTTTCTTGAAGATCCCGTTGGATTTATGCGCGGATATAACCAACACTGGTTCCTTCGAAGGCCCAAAAATGAACCACGCGCCCTTTATATTTCTCCCACAATAAATATAGGATCAAAGAATCCAACAGTCTTTCAGTGCTATGGATTCTAGCTAAAACCGATACTAAATGTCCTAGTCCGGGAGCAACGCCACCACAATCACCATCATCAAGTATTGATGATAATGAAAGTTCGGATAACATTACAGCGGGTTCGGATTATGAGGAAACCCTAAAGTCATCTGAACAAATACGAAGACGTAATTCTAAGGGAAAGCAAAAACAATTCGACTAAAAAAGGTTGACAATAAACAGAGACTGGGATAACATATTTCTGTATTTGTATCAACAAAACCGATCCTGGAGCTAATGGTCACGGTCATGACCGGTTATGACCGTGACCGATATCGGTCGGTCAAAGGCTTCTGACCGACCGGTTAACTTGAAACTTTGACTGGCTGAACAACTATCGCGTTGATATATTCTTGATTCTTGCTTCCGGGTGTAACGTAATGAAATGATTATTCATAATCTATAATCAGGTGTTATTAGAATCCGCTTTCTCCTCTTCTATAATTATTCTAGATAATTGTGAACAAGCAAGTTTTATATAGTAAAAAAAACACTTTGGATTAAATTAACAAATTAACATTTTATTTTAATATATCAATAAATTAAAAATTTTGAAATTTTGAAAAAAATAAAGTTCGCGATATGCTGCGCCATTTATAAATGAATATTTAAAGTGCCATGAATCAAAATTATAATATTTGGCTAAAAACTTTCTAATAAGCCAGACTCAATTTATTATTATTAACGACCGTTACCATTCCTCGTAATCTAGCACTTAAGATATGAAAAATGTTATATAATTCTTCTTGTTTCGCTAAGAATTTTTATAAGTGACTTCAATAAATTTTCGTCATCCCAAAGAAATACCCGACCATAACAGATTACTCCACCATAGGTCTCACCGATAATAATTATATGATCGAAGCCGAATTCAGTAATACATGTTATATAGTAAATTAGTTCTTTTGGGTCACTATCAAGAATTCTTAAAGTAATAGAGTTTGCAATACGAGATTTATCTTCAAATGTATCAACTAATATGAGCGTATTGTCGCAACACGATGGAGATTCATCTTTTCCAACACATACTGACACTTGAGACATGGTTTTATGACATTCAATACTTGATCCTTCCTGTGTATAGCGAGAGTGAGCGTGTACAAGACGGCACGTTTTTTGAGGGGTTGTGGGTTTCCATGCATTACCTCCCAGGGAACCGATTCTGAGCAATTTCCCAAAGCGTGTTTGCATCTCTCCAATTGTTCTTCGGTTAGGACACTCCTCATGTCTGCTGCCCATTTCAAAGTCTGCATGTTCTGTGCCCTTGGATTCGCTGCCTGTACATTCATTGGTACTTCGCAACGAATTGACGCACCCATCATGAATTTCACAACCATTCTTTTTCGTTTCGAAATCTCTCTTGAGTACATTATATTCACAGTTGATGGTCGCAATTTTTGATTCGGTTGAATTATTATTAAACTTTCCGCTAAGCGTTCCAGACTTCTCATCAAATAATCTATTTGCGTTTCTAATTTCATCTTCCTTGAAGGTCTAAAAGCATAGGTCCAGACGTCCCAAATAATCGATATCGGATAAAATTTGTGTAAGATTATTGTTATTCCCTCCGGGCGTTTTTTTGAATTTGTTCAAGCATTTTTTTTGTACTCTCTCTCCTTACCTTAATGGATCTACGAATTTCGCAATCTGCCATCTCATTACATTGAGAACATTATACACTATTACGTAATCTATTTTTATGGATCTATAGGGTGGCATATAGGCGCAGTGAAATTATTCGATACATGTGATATCCACTGATTTCCGCGGTGATAAATATAACCTTCGTTACACCCCAGACTAATAATAACCTTAAATAAAGCATAAGAACAAATATTAATTTGATAAATCAATATTGATTTATTTTCTGTTTTAAAAAGATTTGTATAACGTAAAATATGTAATATAATAAAAATTAAGTTTTAATTAAACGCATATACTTTACAGAAACTTTGTTTCCTTACTATGCAGTAACTGCATAGTACCTATTAGGCTGCGATTAAGGTAGTAACTATATATTTACTATATAGTCACTTTGCAGTTACTGCGTATTAAGAAAAACAAGTTTCTGTAAAGTAAAACACAATAAATATATTAAAATTCTTGTATAATGCCACGACAAAAAATTAATAACGGATCTTGCTCCATTTATTATTATGATAAAAATTAACACTTTTCGATGTTTAATTAAATTAGCTATGAAAAAGCATTAACTAATGGAACTATTCAATAATTTTCTTATTTATAGACAGATCAAACAAGTTTGTCATTCACATTATATGATTATTGTTGATTGTTGAAAATAAACAAACTCATAAATATAAAGTTATAACTATCCCAAATCTATCAATTAATTTTATTAGGAGATCAAATTAAAAAAATGACAACTATTTTATATTAAAAAAAACAGGATAGTCTTGTACTTGATCCAAATGAGTTTGATAAAATGCTTAAAAATGCAGATTTAGATCTAGAAGGTTTTTTTTGCTTAAATGTGTAATATATTAATACCAAATAATCATTCAATTTATAACCAAAATCAATTTTTTATTTAATGGCGGGATTGCAAAATAATATACTAATAGTTTTAAATTAAATTTGCCTTATATTTTTACAGGATCAGGAATAATATACAATATGATCAATGTATTAAGCTATGCTAAAGTTTCTATTACTTATTAAATTTTATATAATTATAAAAAAAAAGAATGTTAATAAATATTTACTAAGAATAGAAAAGTATTTTAATGGATAATAAAAATCATCTTTGTATATATAATATAGATTATTATTCTAATATATATAAAAAATGATAGTCTAATAATACTTTCTATTAAAAGTAATTCATTTTGTAATAAATGTATTTAAAGAATCTCTTTTAGTGTCAATTACATTTAATAGAATATCTATTTATAATTCAAATAATATTAAAGCTTAACTCATTATAAAAACTTATCAATCAATATTAAATATGCTTTATTTGATTATATTTTTTAATAAAAAACTCAATAAAATAATTCTAATTTAGTTGAATTTGATAATATTAGCTTACAAAATATTTATATAATAATAATAATAAAAATGAAAAGAAAAATACAAATAAAAAATATAATTTTAATAGAAATATAAGAGTAACAGCTTTACTCTTTATTTTAATATATTAATTTATAATAAAAAATAAATCATATTACTTGATTATTGTAAATTAATTTAACTAACTTTTCATTCATAAAGTGTTAATATATCAATTAAATAGAAATAAAATTTTGTTAGTATAGCTTGAAATAATATCTTTTGTTTCTTTTTTTGAACTACTATATATTTTGTTTAATATAAAAATATATAATATAATTTATTATCCTTTCTTGAAAAGCTTTTATAATATATTTGAAAAATAGAAATTTTTGCATAAAAATCTAATATTTAGAGAATTAACTTATACAGTTACTTACAAAAAAATGGAAAATGATAATATAAAGTTTTGCAAATTATTTTATATTAAAATCTAATAAAATCTAACTATACATTTTTTTATAAATATATTTTATATTTATTATCTACTATCTTATATTTATCTTTTTATAAAAATAAATTATTAATTTATTTTAATATAATTTAATTAGTTTAATATAGATTTCAAATTTAATATTTTTCATATTATTTGAAGTATTATCTTTATTTTTTATATATTTGTGACTATTTTATAAATGTTAATTAATCTTATTTCATATATTTTTAATAAGGTTAAGATTTAAGATTAAATTAGCTATTTAAGAATAGTTATATTATTTTTTACAAATTATTAATTTATTATTTTACTATATTTTTAAGTAATTATTTTGTTAAAAAATAATATTATTAATATTTATATTATAATAATCAATTATTTCAAGAAAATTTTTTAATTTATTTCTTAAATTATCTTTTAAATTTTTTCATTCTTTTTCTAATAAAATTAATAAATATTTGATCTGATTATATAAATTTACTCTTATTAGAATATATTATTTTTTCTAATTTTTAAACTTTTAATGTTTTTATTTTTTATAAATTTATATCAAACTTTTTATAATATTATAATAATAAAAATTTTTAATATTTGTAGCTGATTTAAGCTATTTTTTTTTATATATTTAATAAACAGTTTATAAAGAAACTTTAATATTAAAATAAATGTTAAACTTTTTTTAAATTTATAATATAGTTAAATATTTGCTATTTTTAAGATATTATATTACTTGATATTTTTTGCAATTTTTTATTAGTTAAAATCATCTTATTTTAGTAAGTCTATTACTTTATTTATTTTTAATATTTCTTATAAATCTGATAATTATACTAATAGAAATTTTATATTTTTCATAAGATTACTTAATAAATATAATTTTTGTCAAATAATATATAATTCAAATCATATAATTTTCCTATAATCAAACTATTAAGAGTTAGTAAAAGTTTTTAAATAACATTTTTAGATATAATTTTATACTATTAATATTATATAATTTAATATTATTATGATTATATGCTGTTTTAGATTTTGATTATATAAATTAAATCTAATAAATATATACTCAATTTATTTATTTTAACTTTAAATTAAATAATTTTTAATTTTAAAAATAATTAAAATATCTAAAGAATTAATAATAAAATAATATAATGTTATATTTTTTTACTATTAATATAATAATAATTATTAAAGGATTATTATAATAATCAGATGCAATATGCCAACAATATTTAATACTTAAAAGCTGAAATCTTTTTCTAATAAAAATTTTAATATTAATATAATTTTTATTTATTTATTAATTTATAATCATTATATTTGATTATTTATATTATTTAATTTATATTATTATTTTTAAAAATAAAAATTAAATATAAAAATATTTTATTTATTCAAAAAAAAAATAATTTCTTATAAATTTTAATCAAGTAATAAAAGAAAATTTGAGTAAAATGTAAAAGAAGTATTAGTACTAAAATAATATATTGTCTCTTTTGATTTTAAATATATATTATTAACCTTATATTTAATTCATCAAACTTAGAATAATATTGAACTTAATAAAATAAAATAACATGTAAAACTAAATTAAGTTATTATAAGACAAGTTTTATTATAATTAACTTTTAAGTTTATAATAATTTAAAAGAATTAAACAATTTTAATAAATAGGAGATTTGCTAGAAAAATGATCTTTAGAAATTTTTTAATAAAATTTTATTTTTTATTGTATTTTAGTTTTTGATATTATTAGATTAAAAATGTAATAAAATCTTAATTTTTAATTAAAATAATTTCTAGAACTCTATTTTTCTAGCAAACTTTTCAAATATAATTAATAAATATTACAGTTACATTAAGAAAATCTATTAAATTTTAAGAATTAAATATTAAAATTAAATTAAAAAAAGTTATAAATAGATACTTTAGTTTTATTATCTTATGAAATTAACATAATGTTCTTGAAAAAATTGATATAAAGGATTTTATACCTTTAATTAATATTAAAATAGAATTATAACTTTATTAGAAATTTTATTAATAAATTTTTATTATTAGTTTTTTAAAAATTATCAGAAAAATTCTATAAAAGTTTTTCAGTTTTTAAATTTTTTTAAAAAAAAAATAATGATTTTAATATATATTTTACTTAATTTTTCTTTTATAATTTTATTATATATTAATAATAATAAATTAATCTAACTTCTTTAGTAAAAAAAATATTAATGTTATAAAATCTACATAATTTATAGAGTATTTTTTCTTTTAAAATATATTTAGATTATAATATATTAACAAATAAATTATAATTTTTAAATAATTTATTTAAAATTTTTATTAGCAAAAAACTGATTAATTTCAAAATTTTTGGCTATTTTTAAAATTTATCTATTTTGGATTTTTATAATTATATTTTTAACCCTATTTTTAATCAAAACTAAGCAATAATATTTATTAATATAATTACTTATTTTATTTTCTTTTAATAAATGCTAATTGAATTTATGTTAAATGGTATTATTTTTATATTTTTTTTATTATAAATATCTAGGTTATATATAATTTTATAAAGTAGACTTTACTATATATATTGTAATTCTTTTTTTTATAAAGATGTTTTATAATCTATATTTTAATTATTTTTTTTTATCTTTTATAGTTTGTAGCATTAAATTTAATACTACTATATATTTTATATAAAAATTTAAAATTATTCATTAAAATTAATACAGTCGACCCTCTCTACAATCACACCCTTCGGGATCGCCTTATGGTGTGATTGTATAGAGGTGTGCTTATATGC